TAATCAGAACTTTCTGCACATTAGGGTGCACAGAACCCCATCTTAGCAACAATCCATCAGCTTTCCATCAGGGGCGGCATAGTGGCTCACATCCATACATATCTCAATATATAGAAAAAATGTATAATGAGGCACTTCCTAAGAAGAGAATAATACTAGATTTGAAATGTTAAATCCAATCCTCTCTCTGTAGATGATGCCAGACCTGTTGAGTTTCTCCAGCACTTGCTGTTTTTATTTCAGTCTTTCAGCATCGGCAGTATCTTGCCTTTATTAAGAAAGCATATCTGTATCGAAAATGCCCATTTTGAAGGTGGAAGAGATTGTCTTGTAACAGAATGAGTAGAATTTCTAAATGTTAACAAGAAATTGTCTCACCTCATCTGGATTGAACCTTTGTCCTGATTAGGTGCTCATATTACATCCTTCAATGTTTGAACAAAATGTTCTGCTTGTTCCTTTGTGCTTTATGCAATTCATGTGCATGAGCTGTTAAAATTCTTCCACTATCAGACGCTAAAATATGAGGCATCCACAGAACAAACCATGCAGCAGTATGTTTTCATTTCAAGCTCTTCGTGGTCACTTCAAAAAGTCCTCCCACCACAACCATGCATGTGACAGCCTCAAGTTATTCTGCAAAATTAATGAGGACTCCTTTCTCAGCTTTGGAAACTAGTGTAAAAGTTGTAAGGATTCCTGTGTTGAAATGGTGTATGTGACTTAACCAAATGCTTTAAAACACAGATCAGCCATAATGTCCTGCATGGGTTTCAGTTCTAAGACTCAAAGATGACCTTCATGTAGCTTAGGTAGAACAGTGCTGCACAGCTTGAGGTGAATGATAATTCTCATTCACATGGGGATTCCATACTCAAAGTTGCTTATGAGCCCAGAAGGTTTTCAATTTCCCTTCTTCCAATGCCTTGTTTGGCCATCCTTCCATGAGCTTAGAAAGGACATTTCGAATCATGGATCATAGAGTCGTACAGCACGGAAACAGACCCTTCAGTCCAACTCATCCACGCTGACCAAATTTCCCAATTTGACCAAGTCCCATTTGCCAGCATTTGGCCCACATCCCTCTAAACCCTTCCTATTCATATACCTATCCAGATGCCTTTTAAATATTATTATTGTACCAGCCTCCACCACTTCCTCTTGCAGCTCATTACGCACGCGCACCACCCTCTGCATGAAAAAGTTATCGCTCAGATCCTTTTCAAATCTTTCTCGTCTCACCTTAAACCTATGCCCTCCTGTTTTGGACTCCCCCAACATAAGAAAAAGACCTTGGCTATTCACCCTATCCATGCCCCTCATGATTTTACAAACCTCTGTAAATTCACCCCTCAGCTTCCAAGGCTTCAGACAAAAGCCCCAGCCTCATCAGCCTCTCCCTATTGCTCAAGCCCAGTAATCCCAGCAACATCCTTATAAATCCTTTCTGAACTGTCTCAGGTTTAACAACATCTTTCCCATAGCAGGGTGCCCAGAACTGAACGCGATATTCCAAAAGTGGCTTCACAAATATCCTGTACAGCCACAACATGATGTCCCAACATCTATACACGATGCACTGACCAATGAAGGCATGGTGTGCCAAACACCTTCTTCACCATCCTGTCTACCTGCAACTCCACTTTCAAGGAAATATGCGCCTACACCCACAGGTCGCTTTGTTCAACAACACTTGATTGTGAAATTCTTCACTGGTGCAAGGCAAGACATCAACATGGCATTCTGACACATTTTTGTTTGTCAGATCTATGTTAACGTCAGGAAACCTTAACAAACAATCTATATTGTTATGACCACTGGACTTGATAGGATGGTTATGTTTTAAGCTGTTTCCTTTACGTCAAGATGAAATGAAGCAGTTTGCAGAGGCGAGTGTTACCTCATGTGAAATATACCTGGAGACAAGCTCATGTAAGCCTCATGTTATGGAGACAGAAGCTCATTCTGAAGCTTATTCAAAGCCAGGAGCAAATTTGGACACATTGACACAAAGGAGGAAGCAGCTGGTTTTACTGATGCCAAACTTGCAGATTCTCAGCATCAGTCAAATCAAGAAATTTGGAGGAAGACAACACAAAACCAATTTGGCTGCTGTGCCATAAAGGAGTGGAAAAAACCTGATTTTAGGTTAACAGCCAAGCAGAGTACTGTCCAGGATCAATTCCCCTGTCCAAAGAAATTAGCCTTGTGAGCGAAACAGTAAGAAATCGACAGAGATCATCTTGTTACTGGAATGTCATTCAAATATACACAGGTGATTGAGTGCAGGGAACTTTATTGAAAAGGATGCCTGAAAATTCGCCCTGGTAGAAAAAGGTGAACAGATTTTTCTAAAACCAGAAGGAACTTGAAATTTTAAATACAAGTCTATATTTCTGTGAAGAGAATGGCATAATGTATAAACATGGTGTTCGGATTTTCAGTTGTGCTAAGAAACTGATAAGGAAGAACGCTTCTGTCATTTAGTAAATTTGTTGTTTACAGAGTAATGTTTAGCCAATATCAATTTTAGCTTGTTGTTACAATAAAGTTTTTAAAATATAAAACCTTATTATGCAGGCCTTTGCATTGGTCACTAGAAAATTATCACTCTTTAAACGTTAATGGTCTCTATGGAGATTGTAAAAGCCTTGGCATTTTTCTTTGAACTGCGACATATAATGTCGTAATTAAATCCTGCTAGATATTTTGCTCATCTATGCGTTCTCTCAGTTGTAAATACTGCTGTTTGTGTGGGCCTAAAAAGCAGTTAATAGTTACTATCCATAATGGATGTGAACATGAATTCATTTGCATGCATGTAAAATTTCTTCAGCATAAACGTTGCATTCTATCTGCTCATAAATTTTGTTCAGTATTTGATAACATTTTTAATGCAAACTGTGTACACTTTTCATTTCTATTGGAAAATAAAAGTGAAAGAAGTGCTACTGTAGCAGGAGGACTTGGATCAGTTGCTGTCATAATTGAAAGTGCTGGGTTAAAATGTGTCAGAAATTCCAACTCCCTCCTGCTTCAATCATACAAACATATCATCTAATCCTTCATATTTCTGAGGCTTTTATGATGGTGTGGACATTGGCACAATTTAATGTGCTATAGTAATTTTAGTTTTGTCATTCAACCTTGGGATGCAGGCATTGCAGGCTGAGCTAGTATTTATTACCCATCCCACATACCCTTCAGGTGGTGGTGCAGAGCCACCTTCTTGAACCACTGCTGACCATGTGATACAGGTACACTCACAACGCTGTTGGGGGAAGGAGAGGAGTTCCAAGATTTTGACCCAGTGACAGTGAAGGAGCAGTGATATATTTCCAAGTCAGAATGGTGTGTGATTGGAGAGGAACTTGGAGATCGTGGTGTTCTGATGCAGCTGCCCTTGTCCTTCTAGGCTGCAGAGTTCAATGGTTTGGTATGTGCTGTGGAAGGATCCATGATGACTTGTTGTAATGCATCACATAGCTACGAACACTATGCTTCGGTGGACAATGGACAGGCTACTAAAGGTGCTAGGTATGGTGCCAATCAAGTGTGCTGCTTGTCTTGGATGGTGTTGAGCTTTTTGAGTGTTCTTTTAAGCTGCAGTTATCATAGCAAAACTTGCCTTGTAACTGGTGGACAAGTTTTGAGCACCCAGCAGGTGGGTTACTCAATGCTGATTTCCCAGCCTGCTCTTACAGCCACAGTATTTAATGTAGATGGTCCAGTTCAGTTTCTGGTCAGTGGTAACTCCCAGAATGTTGATAGTGAGAGATTTAGTGCAGGAAATGCATTGAATGTCAAAGGATGATGGTTGGATTCTTTGTTGATCAAAAAAGTCATCACCTGGCACTCTGTGGCATAAATGTGTGGTATATTTACTATCTATTACCTCAAGCCTGGATGTTGTCCAAGTCATGCTGCATTTAGACATGGATCACTTCAGCATTTGAAGGATCACAAATAGTGCTGGATGCTGCACAGTCATCAAAGAATGGCACAGTTCAAATAAATGTTTAATTCTTATCTAAAAATGAAATAAAATGGCATAATTTGCAACAAAAGAAGAAACTCACAGCGTACTGTGCCTCTCACAGAAAGTGCTTCACAGCAAAGTCTGAAAAATGACCACATGATGCTGGTGCAGAGACTCTCTCGACGCTAACACTGGGCATGCTCGGAACAAAGCCCGTGAAATGATCATGTGATGTCAACTCATATTCCTCCGCACACCAATGGAATTGCGTTATAGCCAACACAAATTTGCGTTTTAGAAACCAAAAGAACTGCGGATGCTGTAAATCAGGAACAAAAACAAAGTTGCTGGAAAATCTCAGCAGGTCTGGCAGCATCTGTGGAGGAGAAAACAGAGTTAACGTTTCGGGTCCAGTGACCCTTCCTC